TGTGGTCTTCTAAATATACTAACTTTTAATTTTAGCCCCTTAAGTGTGGCACACCTCATGGTAGACTTCTTGGTGAATGGGTGTAAATGTGATAATGCTAGCATAACAAATATACTGACATGTTATGTCACATGAACATTTTTTTTTACTATTTTTACATTATTAATAATAATTAAATATATAATGACAATAATTTGGTCGCAAAATCCATCACAAAAAATGAAGATTTATAGTGAAATTCAAAGTGTATATGACACTAAGTTTATGGCATAAGATGAACATCATAATTAAATCTATAAATGATTGCTAATTTAGTTTCTAAATTTGTCCCTAATTTAAACACGTCATTCTTAAAAAAAAAAAATTTCAAAAGATGCTTATAATGACCTAAACTTTGATTTTTTGCATATAAGTTCATCACATGGTAAGCATTACTTTTACAAAAGTTAGATTTTTTTTACGTGAAATAAATTAAATATAATTTTTAAATATCGATTTTTCATGAAACAAAAACAACTCAAACCTTGACTTATGATTAAATATTGAGCTAATTTTTTCTTGAACTTTTCTATATAACACATAGAAAAGATATGTAAAGTTTTGTGGTTTTCTGAACAAGTTTTGATTTATTTTGATTTGTTCATCGGAAGCACATATAATTTAACTATAATTATATATATATATATATATATATATATATATATATATATATATATATATATATATATATATATATATATATATATATATATATATATATATATATATATAAAATTTCGTGCTAGATCAGAAATAGTTGAAATAGGTGATGAGGAATAGTAAGCAGATGGTGCTAATCTCTATTGCGGCGCAGCGGGGTGGACCTGCGTGGTTAGCACTTCAATGCACAAGGTAGTTCAAGATTGAATATCATCATAGTGAAAACTAGAGATCATATAAGTGTACCTTGATTTTCATGTGAGTCGACTTTATACCTTGAGTTAAGTGGAATGGATTAGAGATAAATTGGGTCTTAGTTGTTTGGGTTTATGGCCGGTATAAAATTGCTCCCCCAAGACTTGTCGAGCATTGAGAGGATCAGGAAAGCATTTAATGATTTTGATCGACCCCTCCATGGATGCTGTCCTATACGAAACTGGAAATGAAACACCTGAGGTCAATTGAAAAAGTAGTGGGTTTTGGATGCAAGTTCATCACATTATAAGCATCTCTCCTACAAAAACTAGAGTTTTTTTTTTTACGTAGAATAAATTAAATATAACTTTTTAAACTCCGATTTTCATGAAACAAAAATAATGCAAACCTTAGCTTATGATTAAATATTGAGCTAAATTTTTGCTTGGATTTTTTTGTAACGCATAGAAAGGATATGTAAAGTTTTGTGGTATTCTAAACAGGTTTCATTTATTTTGATATTTTCGTCTGAAGCACATATAAATAAACTTTATATATATATATATATATATATATATATATATATATATATATATATATATATATATATATATATATATATATATATATATATATATATATATATATATATATATATATATATATATATATATATATATATATATATATATATATATATATATATATATATATATATATATATATATATTTGTGTGTTGTGTGTTGTGTGTGTGTGTGTGTTATGTGTGTTGTGCGTGCGTGTGTGTTGTGTGTGTGTGCATGTGTGTGTGCGTGTGTGTAAGGGTGTTCGAAATTGAACCATCCAATAGAAAATCGCAAATCGAGTCAAAACAAATCGAAAATCACAAAAAACCGCATTTAGTTCGGATCTGTTTGTCTTTTTTTAAACAAAAACCTTGTGGTTTTGGGTTGCGGTTTCTAGTTTGAAAACCAAATCAAACCGCATTATGTTACAACTAAAACTTCACTTAACCCATATCCAATCTAAAACCAAACCTATTATGCCTTAGTCTTACGATTACGAACGATTTTCTCTTTCTCACACTTAGGATTTCAGTTTAAGCATTCTCAAATCTCTCCTTGCAGTATCACACATTTTTCGTTAGGTATATCTCTTATTTTCTTTACTAATCTCCTACTCTATTATATTCTAACTTTTTTATCTTCTCATTTTTATACCATCCTTCACTCTTCCAATTTCATTTTATCGCACCTCTTCTTTTCTAATATTTCCTCTCTTATATTCTTTCTTTTTCATCTTCACTAATCTCTCGTCTCTATTTTTTTGTTTGATATATTATTTTATGCTATTGTTTTATGTTTATTATTTCACTTTTGTCTAATCTGACTTTTATATATAAAATGGGAAGTTTTTGTCCAAATATGATGAGTTTTTTTTTGTTATTTGGTAATGTATGAATGACTAAACACAAATTTATGTTTTCCTCTATATGTGTATACATGGCTAAAAAAATGTATAAAAAACCGAAGCAACCAAACCAAACAAAACCGCATTGGTTTGGTTTGGTTCGTTTTTATTTTTAAAAGCCAATCGAACCAAATCAGACCACGCACTTTTTTCTCTTGCGGTTCGGATAATTTTTAGCTTCAAAACCGCTCACACCATACACACACACACACACACACACACACACACACACACACACACACACACACACTCACACACATATATATAATTTCATATTGGACCAAAAATAGTTGAAGTATGTGGTGAGGAATCTTTAGCCTGTGGTATCCTTCTCAATTCAAGCTCTTTCCTTCAACTTTTTTTGTTTTCTATCCAAAATGAGTGATAGTATTTCCCACCCAGTGAGTGATTATGGGAGAGATGCTTCATCTGCTGCGGGAATGGGGTTATCCTCTGATTCTCATCTTTCTCCCCTTGCTCATGATCGCATGGGCCAAAAATTTATATCCCTATCTGACAATTATGATTCAGAAATGGAATTTGGGAACTCTTTCCTTGAAAGAGCTTCTACATTCAAATTTCTCGAAGTTCTTTTATCAGATGAAGGCGAAGAGGGAAATAGTATCGAGGTTCCCATGCCCTCTTCCATTTTGACCGAGGAGGAAATACAAGCTATCAAGTGGATGAGGAAACATGTTGATGACTTCATCCAACTTTACTTGAGAACCAATAATTGTGAACCTAGCGATGCTGAAGTGAGGATTCACTTAGAGTTTTAGGACATGCCCGATGTAGTTTCTTGGATCACACCCTGTGAGCATTCTCATATTGACTTCTGCATCAACTGAAACTCTTGTGATTGTAAGGCAGCCCAAACTGTATTTTTCTTAATGCCCCTGTTCTCTGAACATATTTTTGCCCGAACATCCTTAATCCCCAATGCAGTGTTAAAAAGTCATATGGAAGAGGAATCTTACTATCGGACCATCATTGGAAGCAACTATACTCCGGATCTAAGTAATGAGAATAAGGTGTAGTAGAATAGATTCGGAATGTCTAACACTTCGCGTCATGGCACTGCATAACATTATCACAAGTGTTTACTACTTCAACCACGAATAATTTACGTTGGATGTTTGCTTCACTTCTTCGCGATTGGGTAGCTTTAGTCGAAATATGAGCTTCATTGAGATTTACTTGATATGTCCTTAGGTGGTCTCTGTTCATCGTTCGAAGATTCTTCGCTACCTAGAGAATGTGCTCTGGTTTAGATCTACGCTAGTCGTAGTTATGAACTTGCCATATCTTCGAAGTTGTCATGGTAAGTATAGTGTTGGTGAAAAATAATTGAGGTGATGCTAGATCAAAAAGTTGATCATGAATCTTAAGTATGATCTTAGAGGAAACTACCTCAATTCTTCAATAATTCTAATGTATATCTGGATTATGATATAAGATCATTCATTCGTCTTACTTTGTGGAGTTTTCTTGGGAATCAAAGATCCAGGAGTTCGATGAATTGAGGTTGAAATGATGAGCGATTGGATCGAACACGACAAATTTTCACGCTTGATTCTGAACGTTCTCGCTATGGTGATCTGAGAAGGTTACGAAACTAGTCAATTGAATAACAACCGTGAAAATCGTGGAAAATGTAGGAACCAGAAGTTCATTCCCATAGACGACACCATTGTTCCGTACTAGAACCAGAAATAGTTGAAGTAGGTGGTGAGAAATCCTGAAACGACAATGTTGGTCTATGATGTGGCGGCACGGGGTGGACCTACATGGTTAGCTCTCCAATGTCCGTTTAAGATTTAAGATGATTGTAGTGAAAAATGGAGATCAGAAAAATATACCTTACTTCTCGTGTAAATTGACTTTATACCTTACGTTAAGTGAAATGGATTCGAGATAAATTGGATCTTACTTGTTTGAGCCTTTGACCCGCCTAGAATATATATAAATACTGAAATTTTCATTTTTCAACACTCCAACTCAAGTAAAACTAAACTTATCTTTTTGCATGTCGTGTTATGACTCCTCTTTTTTTCTTCTTCAATTTTTGTCTTAGAATCTTTTTATTCTTTTCTCCTTTTGCTTAGCCTTGTGCTCTTTTGTGGATTTCATTCGTGTAGCTAAGCAATTTTGGGTTCTTATACTAAAAAGTTAGAGACAAGACTTTTTAGGTATTGTCGGCTTTGAGGGTGTGTAACACAATCTACAATATAGTGTTATATTTTTTTATGATTAAGTAATAACAAAAAGGACTTTCATGTATATATTTTATGGTTAATTTACGATTAAATAGGGTCTTTTAAAAAAAATACGACTCTATAGATCATCTCTCAAAAACTTGAGATGACTGTGCTTTTAGGTACGTAGCATGTAGAATAAGGAATTTCAAGCTAAAACTTCTTTAGATTTTAGTTTAAAGATGATCAAAACTAAAACTAACAGAGGACTTTTATATATATAGATAGTAAGTTAAAAAGTTCGAAAGTCTTTCCCCTGAACATGCATTTGATAATGAGTTCTAGAGTCTAATCATACATTAAAAAACATAATGATCAAAATAACATAACACTGATCATAACATGATAGAACTAATCATAGACAGAAATTTCTTGCACTCTTAAAATGGACTTTGGAGCTCCGATTCAACTAGATGCCTGACATTTGGAGCAGAACTATCATCTGCCACTGGTTTTAGATGAACATCACGATTTTCATAATAGTGATATGCAGCCGCACCCGAAAGCACTGCTAGAGTTAGCGCCTGTGCGTGCATCCTGCAAAACACATTTCACCTCAGCACTTAATGGAGAAAAAAACATTGTCATTGAATATTGAAGTTGAAATTCTGTGAGAAATGTACCTAGCATGGATGAGCCTTAAACTCGGCTTCATCGGAGATTTAGCTCGCGAATAAGCTACTAGTGTTGCTCCAATTCCAGAGGCCCATAGTGCTCCTGTATTCAAATTTTGTTATAACTTCATATTCAAATTTACTACCAAATGGTTGTACTTGCATATGTATATACAGTAATAACTTACCAATGCTGGCAAGTTTGTTCTTTGAAACCCATGTTTGAACTGCCTCCATGTTGTTAATTCCTTGTTATTTTGAGAAGTGTAATTTTGAGCAAGTGTTAGTATTTGGTAAGATGTGAAGGGGAATGAGTATTTATAGAGATAGGTGGGTGAGATCGGTTGAAATTTGTGGCCTATTGGCCCATGGATTTAGCAGGGTTATGTATTTGATTGGAGTTTGGAACACTGAAAGTGTTAAACTAGAGGCGTATTTACTATGGTTTTGGTAATTTGCTTTACTTTCATGTGGCAAGTAAGTGGTGGAGCCAACGGAATCAATTGCTTAGATCTGTGGTTCTCTGATAGGAAAGTCCATGAAATAAATAAAACAATGTGATACCAATGTGACAGGCATAGATGTGTGACCAATGTGATACCTCTCAAACACCACCCAATACCATGGATCAACAATACAATATGAATATATTGCGTTAAAAGAAGCGTTGTAAATTTGGATGAGAGTGGATTTTAATATTCTATTAATAACTTTATTAAACTTTATGCTCTGAAATCTGATCAATGTTTTGGAATTCTAACTATCTGTCTAATATCAACCAACGAGAGGTATTTGAAATATGAGAAGTTTTCTTGCCACTCCAAATTTGGCAAAATTTTAGGTGAAAATTCTGCATAAAAAATCCGATAGAATAAATAAAAATTTCGATACAAATCAATAAAACTGGTAGTGTATGTCAAAAGTCCGGTATACATCTATACCGTTTTTAAAAAAAAATCAGATGTGTGGAAAAGTTTACTGGTTTTTTAAAAAAACATTATGTTGTACTGGATTTTTTGCAAAACTTTAAAAAATTTGGTAATGTTATATCATCGGAATTTTTAAAATTCCGTGCGTTTATCGGACTTTTAAAGGAACTGCAAAAGTCCGATAGTGTAATTTCTATTAGAATATTATTAATAATTCATATTTATTTAGTTGTACTATTTTCTTGGCCCCTAAGTTTGTTAGAGGGTATTTTAGTATTTATCTTATTCTAGTAACCCTAGTTTTAGCTTATAAATAGGGTGACAATCATTGTAACAAAATATCATGTTTTGTAGCCGTCATTCTCTTATTAGTAATATTTCCTATTTCATCATTTATTCTATCTTTGCACCAACAATTGGTATCTAGAGCTCCGGTTCAGATTCATTGGGAAACACGGGAAACACGAGTGAACGTGAGGTCTTGTGTGTTTGATTTTGTTTCTCAGATTCTTGTTGAATCTTGAACAAAATCTGATCAGAATTTTTTAATTCTGTGGGTTGGGAAACACTGTGTGAGAAAACTCTGAGTGTATTGTGCAAAGTAGAAGATGAACGGAAACGGCAACATGAACACCAAACTTCCAGTATTTGACGGTAAAAACTGGAATCGTTGGATGATCCAGATGCGTGTGCTGTTTGGTGCTCAAGATGTTCTGGATCTTGTCACTGATGGTTATGTTCCAGTAGCAGCAGATGCAACTGATGAACAGAAAAACGCGCAGAAGGAAGTAAGGAAGAAGGATCAGAAAGCATTGTTCTTCATTCATCAATGTGTGGATGTAAACGTGTTTGAGAAGATTGCAGACTCTACAACAGCAAAGGCTGCATGGGACACTCTGGTGAGATGTTATGGTGGTGACGCATCAGTGAAGAAGGTGAAGCTTCAGTCCTTGAGAAAGCAATATGAGAATCTCAACATGAAGAATAATGAGAAAGTTTCTGAATACATCTCCAGAGTGATTCTGATCACTAATGAGATGAAGGCATGTGGAGAAACTCTTTCTGAAGAAACAATCATGGAGAAAGTGTTGAGATCCCTTACTCCTCAATTTGATTACATTGTGGTAGCAATAGAACATTCCAAAGATCTGAGCACAATGAGAATTGAAGAGCTGCAGAGCAGTCTAGAAGCGCAAGAGTTGCGTCTGACTGAGAGAAACTCTGAAAAGGAAGTAGAACAGCAGGCTCTGAAAGCAACTTCTGATAGGAGGTATCAGAAGCAGTCAGAAGTCAAGAGAAGATCTGATGGTGGTCAGAAGTCAGAAAGCTCAACCTCTGATAGACAAAAGAATGCTCAGAGGGGAAAAGAGAAGTATGACAAAAGAAAAATACAATGTTACTGTTGTAAGAAGTTTGGTCACTTTGCTAGAGATTGTTGGTCAAACAAGGAGAAGAAATCAGAAGAAGCAAATATAGCCAGAAGTTCTGATGACGAATCTGTGCTATTGATGGCCTCTGAATCTGATGATCTGACAGACTGGTGGTATATGGACACTGGCTGTTCAAATCATCTTACTGGAAACAAGAAATGGCTGGTTGACTTTGACTCTGAAAAGAGAACAAAGATCAGATGTGCTGATGACAAATATCTTAATGCAGAAGGTATGGGAAATGTCAGAGTGACTCTGAACAATGGGAAAATAGCATTGATTCAGAATGTGTGGTATGTACCTGGCATCAGAAGCAATCTGATGAGTGTGGGACAATTAATTGAGAAAGGTTTTTCAGTTACCATGAAGGACAATCTTCTGAAGCTGTATGACTGTAATCAGAAGTTGATTATGGAGTCAGAACAGGGAAGGAATAGAACATTCAAGGTGAATGTCAGAACTGCAGACTCAGAGTGTCTTAGTGCAACAAGTACTGAGAAGGAGAGTGAGCTGTGGCACAGAAGATTTGGTCATTTGAATTTCAGAAGCTTACAACATCTGAATTCAAAGAAATTGGTACATGGAATTCCTGCAATTAAGAAGCCTGAAAAGTCATGCAAAGTTTGCATGGAAGGAAAACAACCAAGATTGCCATTTGCATCAGAAGTTGCTCCAAGAGCAAAACATGCCTTGGGAGTTGTACATTCTGATGTGTGTGGTCCATTTCCAGTAGCATCAATTGGAGGGAATAAATACTTTGTGTTGTTTGTTGATGAATTCACAAGAATGACATGGGTATCCCTTATAAAGTTCAAACACGAGGTGTTTGATGAATTCAAGAAGTTCAGAATGAAGGCTGAGAATCAGAGTGGTCAGAAGTTGAAGATTCTTAGAACTGATGGTGGAGGTGAGTATAACTCCAAAGAGTTCCAGAAGTTCTGTGAGGAGAATGGAATTGAGCATGAGGTTACTGCTCCTTATACCCCTCAACACAATGGTCTTGCTGAAAGAAGAAACCGTACTTTGCTTGATATGGTGAGAAGCATGCTAAAGGAGAAGAAGCTTCCTCAGAAGCTCTGGGGAGAAGCTGTTGCCACTGCAACGTATGTACTCAACAGATGTCCTACGAAGAAGTTGAAGGAAATAGTTCCTATGCAGAAGTGGACTGGAGACAAGCAAAGTGTTAGTCATCTGAAGGTATTTGGTTCTGTTTGCTATAAACATGTTCCAGAAGCCAGAAGACAGAAGCTGGATGATAGAAGCAAAGTGATGATTCTGATAGGGTACCACAGTACAGGTGCATACAAGCTCTATTGTCCAGAAACCAATAAAATTGAATTCAGCAGAGATGTGATTGTGAAGGAATCAGAAGTTTGGAATTGGGATAAGTCTCAATCTGATTCTGATGTTAGAACCTCTGAAGAAAGGCCAGAGTTAAGCATTTCTGAAGTTGAAGTAAACCCTGACGTTGACTCTGACTCTGATACTGATTCAAACTCTGAAGAAGACTCAGAAGATGAAGGTGACTCTGATGACCCAGACTCTGATGACCCAGACTCTGATGATTCAGACTCTGATGGCAATCCAGATCTTGGTGGCAATTCAGACTCTGGAAATATGCCAGACTCTGAAGATGGTCAAAGCTCTGGAGGTCAATCATCTGAAGCTAGAAACTCTGAAGCTCAAGACTCTGAACAAGTTCAGAGACCACAAAGAATCAGAAGCGTTCCCAGAAGATTTGCAGAATTTGACATGCTGCAAGACACTGAAGTAGACTCTGAAGGAGAAGTTATTCAGTGTGCCATGTTAGTAGACTCTGAACCTATAAGTACAGAGGAGGCTCTTAAGCAGAAGCTCTGGCTGAAGGCCATGAAAGAAGAACTTGATGCTATAGAGAGAAACAAGACTTGGAAGCTGACAGAACTTCCAAAAGACAAGAAAGCCATCAGCGTCAGATGGGTTTTCAAGCAGAAGTTAAAGCCAGATGGCTCAATTGGCAAACATAAAGCAAGGTTGGTAGCCAGAGGATTTCTACAGAAACCTGGGCTGGATTATTCTGAAGTGTTTGCACCTGTAGCAAGACATGAAACAATCAGAATGGTGATTGCAATAGCTGCTAACAGGAATTGGCCTCTGATGCATTTAGATGTAAAATCTGCATTTCTGAATGGTCCATTAGAAGAAGAAGTTTACGTGTCACAACCTCCTGGATTTGTGAAAAAGAATCAGGAAGGGATGGTGTACAGATTATACAAAGCTCTATATGGACTGAAACAAGCGCCCAGAGCTTGGAATCAGAAGATTGATTCATTTTTCAAGAAGCAAGGCTTTCAGAAATGTGAGATGGAGTACGGTGTCTATGTTCAGCATACTTCTGAGGGCAATATGACTCTGGTATGTTTATATGTTGATGATATACTATTGACTGGAAGTTCTGAACATGAGATAGCCAAGTTCAAGAAGGTTCTAATGAATGAATTTGAAATGACTGATCTAGGCAAAATGACATACTTTCTAGGGATGGAGTTCAGATATTCTGAGAAAGGTATCATTTTGCATCAGCTCAAGTATGAATTAGAACTTCTGAAGAGATTTGATCTAAAGAATTGCAAGATGGCTGTCACACCTTCTGATACAAATCAGAAACTGGATTCAGACTCTGAAGGAAAGGATGTGGATGCTACAACCTTCAAACAGTTGGTTGGTTCTCTGAGGTATCTGTGCAATACCAGACCTGATATTTGCTACTCAGTTGGGATGGTTAGTAGGTTCATGAGTAAACCTAAGTGGTCCCATTACCAAGCTGCTGTCAGGATTCTGAGGTATATCAAAGGAACTCTGAAGTATGGAGTGTTATTTCCCTCTGGAGGAAATAATG